ATCAATAATTAATAATAAAGTGGTTGGCCACAACACTACGAAGTTACCCTTTTTTTCTGGTTTCCCAACTAATTTTTGAAAACTTGTGATAAGCAAGTTTCAGTGTACCATTAAGCAGTTACCGTCTGATCAGTTTCCAGTGGGATATAAGCTACCACTTTCGTGGAAGTAAATCGACATCATCACTTTTGTTGCTGATTTTTGTTGTCTTGCTGTAACTGGAGAATTTGCACCTTCTACGCAACATGCCATGGATTGCTGTTTGGTTTTCAGGTCGTACTTTTAGAACCAAAATTCATCATCTGTTACGATTTTCTTAAAAGTGCTAAACTTTCCATTTTCAAATTTTTGCAATAAATATTGGACACGCTTTTTTATATCGTCGGTTGAAGATTTCCGGCGATCTTCACGAATTTCGTCCTTCACAGAAAAATGTCCAGTTTGGAATATTTGAAACTACAATGGATGGTGCTTGATTTGACGTCGAAATCCGAAGAAAATGGCAAAACGAATTTTTACAATTTTTTTTATAGTCGTATGTTTAATAATTATATAACTTATATAATATTGTAAGAATATTAAGTATATTTTCTTATATAAATATAGTAACAAAGAGCTAGCTACTAAAAACTATTTTACAAAATAATTGATAACATCTTTAATAATTTAATCATCTTTTAAATGCTTACAAGCGATATGTGATATACAATTAAGGAATATTATTAATAATAAGCCTCGCTTCATTTAAATAGCAGCAAGTCACGGATGGATCGCTTCTATTCCATGTAAGCCAAGTGATTTGACTGCAGACGTTTCTACATGTTATCTCTGGGGTATCAGTGCTATATGGATTGTTCAAAGCAATGAAGGCAATGCCATCTCCTGTGGCTGGATTACGGATTACTTTCCAAAAGTATTTTGGCACAGGAATCTTTTGATTATACATGTAGATATAATAACCATAATTTCTCACATCCACTAACGTCATCACTTTAAAACCGCCAGTGTAAACAATTAAGTCCAAGTTGTTGTTACAACTGTAGTCCCTAATATTTTTCTCAAGAGTGTACCATTGGTTCAAATTCAACGTTTGCCATTGCGGCAAGGCATTCGCATATTTGAAGGTACCGTGTTGCTGCGCAGCATAAAGGAAATCCACTTTTGCAGCTAAATGACCCCTACTCAAGTACTTATTACCAGAATTCTCTACGTAGTTTAATCCTAAAACTTTATTAATTTTCGTCATTTGCATTGATTTCTTGTATATTTCCCGAACACCTTCTTGCAAATTAAATAAATTGTCTTCAGTAAACTCGGATCTTTGAATGTTAGCCTGATGTGCACATATGGCTTTAGATACAATATGTTCTGTGTACTTAGTAGTCAAGTAGAAGTCATCGAAACATAACTTTATAAATGTAATGAAACGATCAGTCAGAGAGAAACCTATAAAGAGCAGTCTGCCTCTGTTAATACAGGAAATTCTTTCATTTCTGACCGTGGCCTTAGGTGTTTGTCTACATTTGATGTCACCTATATCAACACTTGCTGACAGAATAGCGTATTTTCCCGAAATACATCTAGCTATTGCCTGTGATGGCTGTAAATTTTGATTTTTTATAACCAAATTACTGCCAGGACATGCCATCAGGACGTACTCGAAATTCCGCAACGATATAATTCCTTCTTTGTTAGGCATGATAAATGCTCTTTCCCAACTTGTATCTGTTGGGTGAAGAATTAAAGGTGATTTTTCCTTCAGATCATATTTTAAAGACACTGTACACTGTTGATTTACATTGATTGCGTTGATGAACACAATTAATTGTACGAGGACCGTAAATAAGAACCACATCGTTAAAACATAAACTTACTACTGAGTTGTTATTCGCCATTTTCATCATAGGTCAATACGAAATTGCTTTTTTGTTCTAATCTTTTCTCATCTTGCGATAAACAACAAAATATTCTTTCATATTTTCATTTAAAAATTAAAACATTTGTATTTGATATAGTTATTTCAATAAAATTATCAAGTAGTTAATAGGCAATGAGAAATCTTTTTTTTTACATCATACCATGCAACATTTATATCGTCAACATGACAAGGTCAATTCTACAAAATTTCTAAACAAAATCGAAGTTAAATATCTTATTTTATGTTGTGTTTAATTATATAATAACAAAAGATTATTATAATTACTTAAATCGTTATATCAAGGAAATACAATCATGGTAAACTATGAATGAAATTATATAAGTGAATATTGTTCCAATACTTTAAAATTAATATAAATATTTTGGAAACAAATCATTTTCAAACAATGTTTTTCTACACTTTCCATATTTCATAAATAATATGTCTAAATTCTTCAGATTCTTACTCAATTAGCTATACTTTTTTTTTGTATGAATAGGATTTATTTTCTTATCTAGATGACATACATTTTTATATTGAATTATATAACTTTTTGAAATACGATTCCCATCAAATCCACAAATCATTATATACAGATATTTCAACAACAGACAATACAATCATAGATATATTTCCAGACGACACCATAATCATGACATCAGAAAAAAACCTTCTCAACACCTTCAAAAAGAACTTAACCTGATTGAGATATGATTTAAGAAATGGCTAAATAAACCAGTGAAACCTTACACCCATACTTTGGTATGCATGTTTTCCTGCCTCATTTTATAAGAAAAATCAGTTACTTTTACACAGCGTCTAGTGGTGCATGTTTACAAAATCTCATTGAGTTATTTGAATCTATATATACATTTTCGTACCGAAATAAAGTCGGTTCTGAGTGATAAACTGAAAATTTCAATGATTGAACGTCATGGTAAAGATGTCACAATTGTTCATAACTGCTGATTTTAAACTGCGTTTTGTAGCCGGTTAATACCGGCGGCAATCGAAATCCCGACTGCATCAAAATATCGACTATATCAAAATATCGACTATATCAAAATCCCGACTGTATCAAAATCTCGACTATATCAAAATCCCTACTGTATCAATATCCCAACTATATCAAAATCCCAACTATATCAAAATCCAGACTATATCAAAATCCCTACTGTATCAAAATTCCGACTATACCAAAATCCCAACTGTATCAAAATCCAGACTATATCAAAATCCCGACTTTATCAATATCCCGACTGTATCAAACTCCCGACTATACCAAAATCCCAACTGTATCAAAATCCAGACTATATCAAAATCCTGACTGTATCAAAATCCCGACTTTGTCAATATCCCGACTGTATCAATATCCCGACTGTATCAAAATCCAGACTATATCAAAATCCCGACTTTATCAATATCCCTACTGTATCAATATCCCGACTTTATCAAAATCCCGACTATACCAAATCCCGACTGTATCAAAATCCCATCTGTATCAATATCACGACTGTATCAAAATCCCGACTATATCAAAATTTCAACTGTATCAAAATCCAGATTATATCAAA